CCTTTGGCAGAATACAGATTTTCAGCCCCCCCATGCCTCTCTTTCCCTCCCTCATCTCTTGTCACCCTTTCTTCTCCTCCACACTCTCACACCCTCCCTCCATCCTCTCTGTCCTCTAATCTCATCCCCTCCCTTTCCCCTTTTTTCTCACCATCCTCCCATGCTCCTCCTCTCTTAGCTATTCCTCCTTCATTTACCCTTTCTCCCCTCAAAGCCCACTCCCTTGCTAGATATGTGCACGCGCATGTGTGTTTGTGTATGTTGTATGCACATTTCATTGACAGGCTGAGACTATAATGGACTCAACATGAAGCTTTAATCCATTAACAATAGGATCCGTTGGTCAGGAGGCCAGAGGGGGGCAGCTCTGGTGTGTGTGTGTGTGTGTGTGTGTGTGTGTGTGTGTGTGTGTGTGTGTGTGTGTCTAGTCTTGGGACACAGAGGGGCGCATGAGTGTTATGCAAGTAACACACACAGACAGTCTGTTACACACTTGATAATACACACAGGCTTTCACAGTCAATTACACATTGCACGCACACACACGCACACACACACACAAATACACACACACATACTGCAGCCAGTGCAACTTGTCAGAGCCAGGAGAGGGAGCACTGATAGATTTTGAGAGCCACTTAATGTAATCATCAACTTCACAGGCGTGTGTTTGTGTGTGGCTGTGACTGGCATTGGTCAAGTGAGAAAAGAGGTTGCTGTTAGTACTGAAGTGTTAGTGCTACTTAATTCATGCTTCTGTGAACTATTAACCTATTTGCAAGTAAGAGTCTGTTTTTCTAACCTGCTCTACACATAGCTGAATAGCTTTTGTAATTAGTGGTAGATGGATCAGACGATCCACTGAACTCATGAATGCACACACAACAAAGCACAACTGAATTGTAAATTGTCTCACCTCTGCAAATCCATTGTTTTTTTTCTTCTTTGTCCTTCAAACTCTCCTCTCTCTTTTTTCTATTTTCTACCTACACTACCTATCATCTTTCTTTAATCTCTCCTCCCTGTGTGCTCCTATTTCACTGTTCTGTCCTTCTACTCCTCCTCTCTGCTTTCATCTGCAGAGTAACTCATTGCTGCCAGAAAGTCTTAGGAACTCAGATAAGCGTCGCAACGGACCTGAGTTTCCGAACGACACAAAGAAACGCAAGGCAGATGACAAGGACTCCAGCCACTATGTAAGAAATGGTTCTGTTGTCTGTGTGTGTGTTGTTGTGTGCAATTGTGCAAGTGAGGAAACATGCATTTTGAGTGTTTTGTTTCGAGTGATGTTTCACTTTGGTATTAATCTTGACTATTCACTTGTAAGTTCCTTGTAACAGTCTGTTTTTCAGCTAATAAAAGGACAAGGACATTTGTGACAATCTTCTGTTAAAGAAATTTACCAGATGGAAGTGAAGGGAGAGAATATTTAATGGTGAGCTAACTGATGGTCTGTCTTTGCAGGATAGCGACGGGGAGAAAAGTGATGATAATTTAGTGGTGGATGTCTCAAATGAGGTCAGTATGTTTTGATTTTTTTTTTTTTTTTTCATTGTTTGTTAATAGTTTGACAATTGTGGTTTTTTCCCATGGGAGGGATGTAAAAAAATAAAATGACAGGCATCACAGTAGTGTGTGGGGGATGTCGTTCTATGAATTGACTATAATATATTCACAGTTGTCCATGGGACTGAAATGTTCTATCTAGGAAAATGCCAACATCACTTTTGTACAGTGATTTTTTTTCTCGGGTAGTTCACCGAATCCTTGTCCCTTCACCAGGATCCAGCCTCTCCTCGTGGCACACCTCTCCCCTCACCTAGAGAGAATGGCCTGGATAAAGCACGTCTTCTCAAGAAAGACCCCTGTAGTCCAGCCTCTACTGCATCATCAGCTAGCTCCTCCTCCCTCAAGTCCAAAGAGATGGCAATGGTAGGGATGGATAAGACAAATATTTTTCAGATTTTTAGCATATAGTTGGATAAACTAGGTGGATGGATTGATAGATGTTGAATACATATGTCAGTAGTTACATTCTTGTGTATTTCTGAAGTGTCTCTCTCTCTGTGGCAGCGAGATAAGGCAGGCACACCTGGGCTAAAGTCAAGCACCCCCACACCTAGAGGTGACTCCACCCCTGGTCCGAGCTCCACACCTGGAATTCGGCCAAGTCTGTCCAAACCCCCCTCCATGGAGATACCACATCCACCTAGTAAGCCCCGTATAAACATTTGTAATTGAATGATATGATAGGTTGTGTTATTTTAATATTTGAGTTTTTGCCAGAGGGTATTGAGTTGTCTTTTCTAACTTGTCTCCAGGAAAATTCACAATTATCACAAAAATCAAAGGGCTTTGGATAAATCATGCAGGACTTACTTTTCCTGCTTCCAAAAGAACTGTTGTTGTAAGGCTTGATCACCAATGTTTCATGGCACACCTTTACTTTGGAAAAATCTCATGCATGTCTACAGCTCCCCGGAGTCTGCTTTATAGGAACGATAAATCTGATTGCCATCAATCATAGTTTCAGTCAGAAATCTCTATTTACTTCTCAAGGTTTGTGTTCTTAGATATATAAGGGATGTTGAACTTGAATGCCCTTTTAGTTGTTACCAGCTTTTTATGCGTCTTACCATTTCCTTCCCTCTCATCCTCAGCTGCAGGTTTGCGGACACCCCTTGCTGTACCAGGCCCATACCCGGGTGCATTTGGCATGTTGCCCCATGCAGCAGGTATGAATGGGGAGCTGGCGGGTGCAGCCGGGGCTGCGGCCTATGCTGCTGGACTACACAACATGTCACCTCAGATGAGTGCTGCTGCTGCGGCCGCTGTGGCCGCATATGGCCGTTCACCCATGGTGAGTGCAAAATGGTGACTTATGTTTTGGCAAAATTACATTTTATATTCGTGTACAAAGAAAGCTTCTGCAAAATATCAAATCAGCATAAGCAGTTAACTGTATATAAGATTTTTGACATTTTCATATTTCAGTGTTAAAATATTGAACAGTGGAAGTAATTAGGTTTTCTTGAACCCTAATCATTAGAAATATTGTGAAATAAATCATACAAATATGAAGCACAAAATTATTAATTATGTAAGTATTCACCTCTGTCAGGACAATATTTAGTAGTCTCCTTTGGCAGGAATTATAGCTGTGACTCTGAAGATAGGCTGGTATCAGACACCTCAGTTTTTATCCCATCTATTTTGTGGAACTTCTCAGGCTCTGTGAAGTTGCATGGTAATATGTGGGAACAGAACAGAGTGAATTTAAAGTCATGCCTTCTACTGCCTTCATGTGAGTTTTATCAACTGTGGCTTCCTCTTTGCCGTTCTCCCTGAAGCACCCGGGCAACAGTTGTATGCACAGCACTCACAACTCAGCCATGAAACCCTATAACCTGCTCCAGGCAGATTTATAGCTGTACTATGTTCTTTTCATTTTTTTATGACCTTGCACTACTCTGAGGAAAAATCCAGTGTGTTGGAGATGTTGTAGCCTTCCCCAGAGTTGTACGTTTCAGTAACTTTGCAGCAGATTGATTAATTTTTTGTTTTCATAATGTCACTTTTGCCAGGAAAGTGACTAATGGCTGCACCAGTTGCAATAAGTTTACCTTCCAGAAATTTAAATTAAAATCAGTTGTCATGCTTTGATTAAACACAGGCAATCTCCATCCAACTTACGGAAGTTCTAAAAACAATTGGCTGCCACAGTGAATTTTTATGAAGTTAATTATATTGTAACCAGTAATCATATTTTATTTATTTTAGATTTATTCAAAGAATATTTACTTCGACAGTTTTACTTTTATGTAAAGTCTTTTTTTCTGTTGAGTGTTGAAAATCAGAATAACATCCACTGTAATTCAGTATTTTAAAATAATGAAACGTTGAGAAGTTAAGGGTTGTGAATGCTTTTTATAAGCATTGTACATTTTATATTACAAAGTGTGGAAAGTGTCAATAGTTATACAGCTGTATTTCTCTTGTCTGTGTGATAGTATTTATACAGTGGGTGTGCTGGTGTGCATTACGTTCAGTCACCTCATCACTCTTGGCTGTATTTGCATAGTGTTCATTACACTGTTTAAATAGGTTTAGTAGAATCACAGCTGTGTCTGTGTCTGGGCAACACTTGATAGAAACTCAGGTTGTGTACTCACCAGCTGCGTGTGTGTGTTGGACTGGGGGCACAAGTACTGACAGCTCTACCTCTGTGTGTTTGCTGACTCTTATACTTGTCATTCAGATTCGGAGGGTATGTGTGCTCAAGGGTGTCTGTTTGCTTTGTGCTCATGAGTGTTTGTGTTCTGTTCCACAGGTTAGTATTGACCTGAGTGCATATTGCCAATGCCCATGGGCATGTGTTTGCACTGTGATCATAAAATGTCTGTGTTCTCTCCTCAAGGTTGGTTTTGATCCTCATCCTCATATGCGAGTTCCTGGAATGCCTCCCAGTCTGACAGGAATTCCCGGCGGCAAACCGTAAGTGTGTTTGTGGCTGCTTGTATGTTTGAGGACTGATTGCTCACATTGCCCCGTCAGTGTCCTAGAAAAACCTCTTTTCAGAAAAAATCTAATTTTTTCTACTACTTCCCACCTCTTTTTCCATCCTTGGAATTTTTTCTGCATTCTCTGTCCCCCTCCTCTTCCATCTTTATATCCATGCTTAACCTGCTCTCATTTTTTGTATCATCAGTGCCTACTCTTTTCATGTGGCGGCCGACGGACAGATGCAGCCGGTGCCATTCCCCCCGGATGCTTTGGTGGGCCCAGGGATCCCTCGCCATGCCCGTCAGATCAACACACTGAACCATGGAGAGGTGGTGTGCGCTGTTACCATCAGTAATCCCACCCGACACGTTTACACAGGAGGGAAGGGATGCGTCAAGGTCTGGGACATTAGTCACCCAGGAAACAAGAGCCCCGTGTCACAGCTTGACTGTCTGGTGAGTGAGGTGGAGGGTTTCTAGGACGAATATACAGTACAAAATCCAGTTGTATGCAAAGTTTTGGTTAAATTTAAATACCAAAAAAAACAAAACAATTATTGGGGCATATGCAAAAGTATAGGCACCCTACTAAGTCAGTACATAGTAACCCTGCCTTTGGCAATTTGTATTTCTTGAAGTAGTTCATGGTGGATTTTGAGATCCTGCTGTAGAAACCAGCTTCTTGTCAGTTTCAGTTTCCTATTTGTGAATCCCTTTTCCCTCTATCTGTGCAGTGTTTCCTGAGCCACTGGCTACCACACAACCACAAAGCATAATATTTCCAAGGGCACTTACTAAGTACTTACTTAAGTACTTAGGGCACCCAAACTTACTGTTAATTGTTTCCTGTTTTTTAAGTTCATGAAATGAAAAATAACCGTGCAACAGGCTCATTTATGGCATGTATGATGTATGTATGTACTTCTTTTTACTTCAAAAAAATATGTAATTTGCCAAAGGTTTTGAATACAATGGCATCTGATTGGATTGAGATGAGGTGTATGTTTTTGTTATTGTTTATCATAACTATTAAAAATCATAATTTCTGCAGTCTTCGTGCATGTCTGTATAGCAGAAAGGAGACAAGTTTCATTTTTTTATTTATAATATTTATTTTTAAATGTATCTATGAAAAATACAAATATTTGTGTATATATGCAAAATATTAAGTATATATTTTTTGTGCCTACCAAACCAGAACCGAGACAACTACATCCGCTCCTGTCGCCTCCTCCCTGATGGTCGAACATTAATAGTGGGAGGTGAGGCGAGTACGTTGTCAATCTGGGATTTGGCCACGCCTACTCCCAGGATCAAGGCAGAGTTAACATCATCAGCACCAGCATGCTATGCTCTGGCCATCAGTCCAGACTCCAAAGTCTGCTTCTCCTGCTGCAGTGATGGTAACATCGCAGTCTGGGATTTACACAACCAGACACTTGTCAGGTAAGAGAGACTTGGTTGTTTGTACGCTTTTATAATAAAAAGATGGAAAAACATTTTTGCAGAAGATTAATACAAATATGTTGCTCAGTTGAATTCATCTACAGTGTATCTACAATTACTGCATCGGTTCTCCAACCACCTGTTAACCTCAATACCGACCTTCCTTAATTAGCAGACCCTCAGCCCTGGCTGATTTAACCTTTTTATGATTACAAGTTGTAGCACCAAGAGGCACAATTTTGAGCAATAGTTCTACAAGAGTGGCTGCTGATGAGAAATACTGTAAGCTCTTCACATTTGGTTTCTGTGATGCATACCAACTGCCTGGGCAACCTGATTCCTGGTGTCTTTGTTTAAACATTTCTCTCTTTATTTAACTCAGAATGTATGTGTGTATCCTGCAGGCAGTTCCAGGGCCACACAGATGGAGCCAGCTGTATTGACATCTCCAACGATGGCACCAAGCTGTGGACCGGAGGCCTCGATAACACTGTCCGCTCCTGGGATCTGAGAGAGGGACGGCAGCTGCAGCAGCATGACTTTACATCACAGGTGCACACTCATATCAGCAAACTGTGTTTCATCAACTAACCCTTTTCATGAAAAGTAGAGTCCACAGTAAGACTGAATTAAATTTTTGCACATGGTCAAATACTCAATGCTAATACAACTCAAGTAATAATTCCTATGTCTTCTGCCCAGATCTTCTCTCTTGGCTACTGTCCGACAGGAGAGTGGCTGGCTGTGGGAATGGAAAGCAGCAACGTTGAGGTCCTTCATGTCACCAAGCCTGACAAATACCAGCTTCATCTACATGAGAGCTGTGTACTCTCACTGCAGTTTGCATATTGTGGTAAGAGACTGGCTTTCTTGATCTCGGCCTATTATGTCTCATCCTTTTTAATTAATTTTTCACTACTAGTTTTGTGGTCTATCTTAAAACCATTCCCTTTAAAGTTAGTGATTAAAATGTGTTGTGAAAGCTCTATGACCTAGTTGTGTTTTTGCCTTTTATTAAATAGGACAGTATAGAGGCATATAGGAAACAAGGGAATAGATAGAGTGGTATGGTCATTGCACTTACGCTTTAGGCACCTTAACCATTCGGTTGTCAGGATACTTTAGTGGTTTTACTTATATTTTACCTTTTTAATTGGTTTTGTCTATTGTATTCTTAACTGTTTAACCATATCTTGTTGATTATGTCATTGTTTACCTTTGTGCTTATTGTGTACGTTTGTATTTGTCTCTTCCCCAGGTAAATGGTTTGTGAGCACAGGAAAGGATAATTTACTGAATGCATGGAGAACACCGTATGGAGCCAGCATATTCCAGGTTGGAACAACAGATCACCACATTCATTATATAAAAATTAACGTAGATAACAGAAAAATCTGCTACTTGCCAAGTTACTTTCTTAGCTTTAACAGACTGTAACAGACCGACTGAATTTCCACCAGTATTGCATTGCCTCAATGCAATGAATGAGTGGAAGCCATGAAATTTTCATGGCATTATCCTCAAAAAGAGCACTCTCTAATATCCATTTACAGTTTTTGATACACAAGAAAGTTGCAATGTTCATCATGGCTGCTGTTGGAACATGCAGTGAAATATTGGTTTTAGTGTGGCAACATCCTGGCTCATGTGGTGCATCAGCATGTATCTCTGCCAACGTTATCAAGCATGTTATGATAGCTACTGCATCTCATCAATAAGAACCCAAGACATAATTTTATTTTCTAAGAGCATAGTTTTACATTTTTCCATTCTGTATTTCTTTCTTTCTCTTTAGTCTAAAGAATCATCCTCGGTGCTAAGCTGTGACATATCTGTGGACGATAAGTACATCGTCACAGGTTCAGGGGACAAGAAGGCCACTGTCTACGAGGTCATCTACTAAATATATGAAAAGAAACCAAGGACATCTGTTTTTTCTCCACATACACTGATATGTTTCTAGAAATTTTCACATGGAGCCAGATATTGCAGAGTGACCTTGATGGCACATCATTTTTTCTGTTACACCTGCCGAGGAGACACAAGAAGGAGAGAAGCATTTTACTGCACATTTGTGTTGTGCCTGTATACATGACTCCATATCAACTGGGAGCTATCAACTGGAGAGGCTGTATGTTAATGGAAGGACAGGAACTATTATTTGGATCTTCTTGTCGCTACTGCTTTCTGCTATGGACTGCATTGGGATCAGTTAAAGGGACCAGACAATGACTGTACTGAAGGGGGCTCTGCATTGTTTTGACTGGAACCAGCCCTACTGGAAAACACTGTACTGAACATCAGATATTAAAACACTTGATCCAGTGTTACGACCACGGGCCAGACCCTAGAACGAACACTCAGACCAGAGGACCAGGGGGTTGAATGTGTAAACAAATGGCAGATGGAAAGAGCAGAAGGTGGACAGAATTGGACATAATTTTGGAGAGACAAAGGAGGAGAAGCAACAGAAGAGGAACAGATAGATGAACATTTTATAGACTATGAATGCAGAACATGTTGCTTTGCATTTTGTTCTAGACAGATAATGCTCACAGCCTGTTTATCTCTCAGCTCTGACTCTTTGACCTTAAAACGTCAGCTTTCTGTTCTGATACGCCTACACTGTCTGAAAAGTACCTTTTCTGTCTTAACAGTAAGTCCAATCCTCACTAACTGCACTGTAGTGGTAGCTGTCCACCTACACACTTTGTAGACACACAGTACTTATAAAACATGCATACAGTACTTTTTAAGCATACTGAAGGCCTCGTTGACTAGCATCATGCTACTGTTAACTTCTGTGATGGGTTTATTTGATCCTCATGAGGCACAGTACTTTTTCTGAAATCATACCCATTTCAGGTGCCACCAAAAAGATTTTAAAGTCCTCTGTTATATGGATAAAAATTAACTTATCAAACCAAATAAGCTTCAGAAACAGAAAAATACACTCTAAATGTTGTTACAGAAGGCTTAACTCCGGGTCAGAAAAAAGGCGGCTTGTTTTCTTCTTTTTTTTTCTCCTCTATTCCTTATGATGCTGGTTGAAAAGCCAATTATTGGAACCTGGAAGAAAAAAGTTTGAGAGATAGAATTAACCCTCGAATTCCATTGGTTCTCCTTTTCTAGTGTCTGTTTCAACAGATAATTTCCCTACTTAACTCCACAAATTCTGAAGTCTCCAGAATATTGACAGAAATTTTGAAGTGGTTTCGAAACACGGAGAAAGAAAAGGGGGAACAACATGAGCCTTCATAGTGTAACTTTTTTTGTTCATTTCTTGGCCCTTACACTCTGTTCTTCAGCATTAGTGTTTGTCATCAACTGCACATGCTGATGGGATTTCACACTACTGAATTAACATCTCAGAGACTCTGAAAATAGTTTCAGGTTTACAGATTGCTTTTTCATTTTAATGCATTTCATTTGTTTGTGATCTCTTTTACAATAAGCTCACTGGTTGAGGTCATATTAATTAACAAGAATGGTCTCAAATTAATTATTTTCCCTTAATTTGAAATTAAATAACAACCCTTTGGTTACTGTCTTAACTGTTGTAAATTCACCTTGACCCTGCCTTTATCACTCTTTGAAACACATGATGTCTTACTGTATGGATGGTTAACCACGCTTCATATACAGGGACCAACTAAGACTATCTTAACATGTCATTTAATCTTGTATTTATTGAAAATCCTATGTGAACAACTGAAAAATCCCCTGTACCATATTCACTAAACAAATTACATTTTTTCCACATATTGTCACTTGTTAAAGTTTTGTTCAGAGACTGAGACTGTCTAAATGCCCTTGAAAAGTAAAATGTTTTTTTCCACTTTACAAAAAAGATTTTAGGACTGCAAATGGGATTAAATTATTTGTCAAGATTGTCTTAATGAGGAGGGTAGCGTGGGTACAGGAAGGAATCAGTCAGTGTCAGCCATTTAAAACAAATTAATTTCATGACTTTGTGCTTAGTTTTTTTTTTTTTTTATCTATTTTTGTTTGTTGAATGTTTGTAAAAATGTATATATGTTTTTTTTCTTACAGGACATGCTTTAGAAATAACAACTTTTTTTGTACGTCTTTTACATGGAAAAGAAACGTCTAATCAGGAGAAATACTAAATGGTCTTAATGCTAGCTAATCTATAATGATGGAAATGTCTAGACAATAAATGTGTTTTTTGTAACTGAAGTGGTCTTTGACTTTCTTGGTTGATACAAGAACACATTCGGATGTCACTGATCAAATCTTTTGGATCCATTATAGATAAAGGTGTTGGAAGCTCAAAGTTTTAAGAATCAGCCTCATAAACAGAACATTCCAGACATGAAAATAAAACTTTGATGGGTGACCCTTCCTCATGATTCCCTCACGCAAACTATGTATTATTGAAACTCTAAACAACGGCTCGGTGGCTAGGAGAGGATAATGGCTGCCCTCATTTGGCTTTGTGTGGATGAAGCTTTGAAATAAAATGTGCTTATTTCAGCGTAAAATCATATATCTTGCTGATTTATTGAAAATTATTGATGTTTTCAAGTAATACTAAAATCTGAGAAAAATGCAAATGGGTCACTTGGGGGTCTGGTATTTACAAAAGGGTGGAGTGATTTGTGTTGATGGAGTCGAGATAAATGAAACGACTTGCATTAGTAGAAATATCAGTGTGTTCTTAATAAGCAACTTCAATTCTTAGCTTGCTTTATTCTGAATCTTATCACCAAATTTGCTTGTTTCCTTTGTTTTTTTGCCACAGACCAAAGCCACACTGGCTCAGCCCTGAATCCTGTTTGCTCATCACGACGTTGACATCCTAAGCTATAATGTTCCCACGTGCTGCTAATTACAGCATTGCAAGATGAAGCAAAACACGTCCCTGGAGAGTGGTATTGTCAATTTTTGTGTCTTCTGCAAATCATATATGACACCATACACATTTTGATAGCTAAAAGTTATGTATTGCTCTTTACTTATTTTACTTACATTCTTGCCTTCATACATGTGTATGAAATGGCGAGATAGGTGACTTACGATGCATTGCAGGTCATATTTTGCATTTAAAGGTGAACAGATTGCATCACATGATTGGAAGGTGTCTTGTATATGAACCTGCACAATGTATATATGTATGACTGGATTTATACTTCACTTAAATAGTGATTCTGTAAGGACTAAAATGTACCTAAATAGAATCAAACCTGTATTAATGTGTGTGACTCCACTTGACATAGCCCACAACTTGACTGAATGAGTTTTGCTTGAGTGTAGGCATCTTGGATCCATCCAGCTTCATATGTAGTGGTTTGCTGCTAGGCTGTTTATTATTGAGCAGCCCTGTGATTGACTGACGACCAAGTGGTAACCTCTGCGGCTGAAAAATGAAGCCAAAACTAAAGTGCCAAAAACTGCACTGCACTTCCTTGAATGGCCGCTTGAGGCTGGCTCTAAAAGCGAGCCAATCCCCATAGAATCCCATATTAAAATGTCCAACTTTTGGTTTTGGTCTCTACAGCTAATTTCCCCCTTCATGACAACTGTACGGGGGGTGAATTTTTATATAATTTTCCCATTTAAATTTTGTTAAAGTTATACATAATCAAGGGCATGCTCCACACACACCCCACCTCTTTGCTAATTTTTGGATTACCCGGGAGATAGACAGTCAGACACTGCCAAGATGGCAACAGTGGAGCAGTTCACTCTGAGCTTCAAAACGACTCTTCAGAAACCTATGGGTGACGTCAAGGAGGCTATGTCCATCTTAGTTGTCATCCATATTTGTTTTGGTTCAAGAACACGTGCCAGTTAGAGTTTTTGCAGGATTTGTGGGCCAGAGGTCCAGGTACTGACAATCATTTAGTGTGTTGTGTATTTTCTCAGTAGTAAGGTTTACGCTCCTTCCTGAGTGTCACAGACTAAGAAAATCTACACCTTGCATTGCAAATCTTGCATTTACACAGACTTCTCAGGAATCAGATTATTGTTGGTTCCTCCAGTTAATGCAGTGGCACTGCATCTCTGTTTGCCCTATGAAAACAGGGGACCTGTCTATGGTGTTTCTCTGCTGTCTACCCACTGCGTCCTGTTTCACTTCCAGCCTCTTGTGGCCCTGAATAGCATTAAGTGGGTAAAGGTGAAGAATGAAGAAGCTGGGTGGCTCACTCAACCAACCAGGGATGTTTCAGTGTGCAGAAAAGTGAAGGTACTGGTGTGTAGAGTTTTGTGGATTGTTTTTTTTCTCCTATGTGGTATTGATATGGAGGTATAGATAGTAGCAGAACAGAGCAGCTGTTCAAATCAACTGTGTGTTAAATAACCAAGTCCAATCCCCTGCTTAATACTAACACCCACAACAAACAGACTAGCACTCTCTCTCTTCCCTGATGTAAACTGTAAATCTGATTAATTACTGTGAATATATAATTCTCTGTGGATCCATGGGTCTCAAACACAGACACTTGCACAAACACACACACACACACATACACAACGTTGTACTGTATGAGGTGATTATATGGCAATTACAGCAGTCACAGTGACAAAATGAAAGCTGATCCTTGGAGAAAAAAATGGAGAAAATGTCACTCCAAGTTTTCAGTCTATCCAGAGATTTCTGAGCTCTGAATCACAGCATTCTCTTTTGATCATCACCGCTGCTGCCTCTCTCCGATACACAGATGGATTATTCCCCCTAAATCTCCCAAATCCCTAATCCTATTTATCTCAACGCCACACAAAAAAGGTGCTCTCTTCCCACTGCTCAGCTTATGTGTACAGTATGGATGTGAGCATACGTGTATTTCTACTTTTATGAGGACCAGTTCAGGACAAGAGAGTGACATTTCAGGCTTTTTTCACTTTGAAATTGCTCTATTTTAGGATTTAAGGGGGAGTTTTAAAATAGTTATAAGAATTTGGGTTCATAGTCCTACTAGTTATTTATTTTTGGGGCTCGATCCAGACAAATCAGGAAATACAATTGATTGTGTGATGGAGTGTGTATGTGTGGTATATTATTAGTGGCACCATTTTATCTAATTTTCATTCGTCGTTATTTGTTTAATTTGTTCCAAATGGTCTTTCTCAAAGCTGCCTTGGTTTGGGAGACATTTATTGGTAAAGACTGACATAAATAAAATGTTGTGAAACTTAAGTAGAAAATAAATTATGCATGTCCGTGTGGATTAAATAAAAATACCTCATCACAAAATAACTAATAATATACACGCACCCCAACATAAATGATTGTTGAACAATAATATGTCTTTTAAAGTTTATGTTGTTTACAACCAGAATTACGATTTGTTTGGCCACTAAGGGAAGCACAAAAAGCTGTAAACAAATAGCTTTTTTAATGATAATTATAAACAATAATAATAAATATTTACACATCCAGCAACAAAATAATTCATTTGGAGTCCAATATTTACTCTTTCTTTAAACTCTGTTTTTGGTCTCTACCAACTCCTGTGGAAAATATCTGGCTCTTTAGCTGGTAAGTGGTCCAATATGTTCACCAGCTGGTCTTTAACTTTCTCTGTGAGCTGTTTGGTGTTGAGCCGCTGGTGTACAGTGGGTTTATCAGAGTGTTTTTGCTGAAAATGGCTCCTTGCTGTGGCGGAAAACAATCCTTGTAAGAGCAGTGTGAATGAACCAAATCGTAAAGTTATGGGCTGGAAAATCAAAACAACCAAATCTGCCAAAACATTTTAGGGCTGAAAGGAACTACAGAGTCATTTAATCCATTCTTACCATAAAAATATTGAGTGTAGCTTTAAATTGATAATTGACAGTATACTATGTATAAAATGTAGATTATTGAGGTATCCTAGATTGCTAATTTTATTAACTGACTGATTTGATTTTGTTACTACTGGATTAAACCTGTAGATGTGTTATGTACTTTTTCACCAATCACAACGAAAGTCAGGCTTAGCCATCATTCTTATGCTGTTTAAATTTTCTTCACTGAGTTTGTGGACATCACTTAAATGGAGCGGAACAGTAGAAGGAAGACAAGCTACAATACACCCAGATTAAATTGAATTCACACAAATACGAGTAGGGGATAACGAGAGTGCAGCAGCTGCCAGCACGAATAAAACCAGGCCTTTAAAACCATTACATCCTGTTATGCTGTCTTCAAGCCTCCTCCTCCTCTTTTCCTTTCTCCTCCTTTCTCTAGTCCTCCTCTCAGTCTCATTTATGTTTCCCTCCTCCCTCTGTTCTACCTTCCTTCAAAGCCTTTGTCTACCAAGATTTTTTTTTCCTTTTCTTATTTCTTTTCTCTTTTTGTCCCTCCAGGCCCCGCACTCCCTCCCTCACTCATCTTTCACTTTGTTTTCTGCAAGTCCCTGGTTATCTTTTATGTGGCAAACTCCTCTCCTCCTTATTTGCTTTTTTCCTCCTTTCTTCCCAGTTTTTGCACCAACCTCCCCAGGTAGTCCACTGTGTTTTGCACCTGTGTGTGTGTGTGTGTGTGTGTGTGTGTGTGTGTGTGTGTGTGTGTGTGTGTGTGTGTGTGTGTGTGTGTGTGTGTGTGTGTGTGTATTTGTGTGTGTGTGCGTGCGTGTGTGTGTGCGCGTGCGTGTGTGTTTGTGTGTTTGTGCTAATGAGCTTAGAGCTGTCTCCCTCCCAAGGTGAGGTGCCATGCTGAGGTGATCAGCACCGCTGGAGCCGCAGGTATCAACCACAAACACCTGCCTGGTTGCGCACTACCACACACACATACACACACACACACACACATGCGCACACACAAAGTAATTTCCTCTCACACACATGCACACCCGCACATAAGAAGAAAATAATTTCCTCTCTCCTTCTTTCGTACACATATAAATGCAGAATAAATCTTTACTTTTCTCTCTTCTCTCACACACAAACACTATACAAACACACACACACATTAAATACAGTATGCTTTTTTCTCACTCTCTCACACACACACACACACACACACACACACAAACACACACAGCCGACTGCTGCACAAGGC